TGTAAATATTTGAAATTTTTCATTAAAAACATTTGAAGAGAAAGATATCCTATGAAAAGTAAATGGAGAGAACATATGTGCAACACATATAACCAAGAAAAAACTGTCATCGAGAGTCTATGAAGAGCCCCTACAATCAGTACAAAAAGAAAAAACAACATGCTAGAACGACAGGCAAAAGACACGAAGAGGCATTTCACAGAAGTAATATATTTGGTTAAGAAACCCATGAAGACATGCTTGATAATCAAGAAAATGCAAATCAAGACAATGAGGTATCACTTAGCAAAAAAACTAAAAAGTCTGACAATTCTAAAACTTTCAGAAAGAATGTGGATTGAAAGGATCTCTTATGCACTGGTATAATTTGTTAAAATAATTTGATACTATCCTCTAAAGCTGAATTTCATGTACCGCACCTCCCCCCCACCCCGAATTGGCAATTCCATTCCTCAGTTTAGGACCAAGAGAGCAGTCTAGAACACTTGTACGCATGAGCCAGGACCCTCCAGGCAGTGCTGTTTCCCGCAGCAAGAACCTGGAGAACACGACAGGTACAGTATTACAACAGAACGTTGTGCAACAGCGAGAATAACTGAACTATGGCTACATGCAACATGAATGAAGTGTTACAATATATTACAGAATGGGGGCATTTGGGGGCGCCTGGGGGTGCCTGGGGGCTCAGTCGTTTAGGCAGCCAACTTCGGCTCACATCATGATCTTGCAGTCCGTGAGTTCGAGCCCAGCGTCAGTCTCTGTGCTGAAGCCTCAGAGCCTGGAACCTGCTGCCGATTCTGTGTCTCCCTCTCTCTGACCCTCCCCCGTTCATGCTCTGTCTCTCTCTGTCTCAAGAATAAAAAAAGTTAGGGGCGCCTGGGTGGCACAGTCGGTTAAGCGTCCGACTTCAGCCAGGTCACGATCTCGCGGTCCGTGAGTTCGAGCCCCGCATCGGGCTCTGGGCTGATGGCTCGGAGCCTGAAGCCTGTTTCCGATTCTGTGTCTCCCTCTCTCTCTGCCCCTCCCCCGTTCATGCTCTGTCTCTCTCTGTCCCAAAAGTAAATAAAAAATAAATAAAAATAAATAAATAAATAAATAAATAAAATAAAAAAAGTTAAAAAAAAAAACATGAAATGAATGAGAAAAGTAAATGAGGTAATAGTACAGACAGCCAGACAGCATGAATTTCTTTTTTACAATTAGTAAAAATAATTAAAATTAAACAACACTGTGTTTATGCCTATATACGTGGGGAAAAAACTGTTAAGAAGAACACAGTAACGCAAAATCAGAATCGGATTCACTTTAGTTATGTGCAGGTCAGTGGGATGAGACAGGAGAGATAAACTTAAGTTATTGCTAATGTCAAGTTCCTGGGTTAGATAGTAGGGCTCATGATGTTTATTACCTCTAAGAACGAATGAGGGAAGAAAGCACGTGTAAAAAGATCAGTTAGAAGCCCCGGAAGCAGTCCAGGCAGAAGATGACGGTGGCAGGCTGGGTGGTAGTAGGGCCAGAGAGATGCACACAGACCTGAGCGAGTCAAGATGTAGAAATGGGGGCACCTGGGTGGCTCAGTCGGTTGAGCATCCGACTTCAGCTCAGGTCATGATCTCACGGTTCGTGGCTTCGAGCCCCACATCGGGCTCCGTCTGAACACTTGCTCAGAGCCTGGAGCCTGCTTCAGATTCTGTGTCTTGTTCTCTCTCTCCCTCTCCCCTGCTCATGCTCTGTCTCACCCTGTCTCTCAAAAATCAATAAATGTAAAATTAAAAAAAAAATTTTTTTTAAACAGATGTAGAAATGACAGGCCTTGGTAACTGGCATGGAAATGGGAGTGGAGAAGAAGGAAGGGTGTAAGTGATTCTCAGGTTTCAGATTTAAGGAGCTGGGTGGAGAACGGGGCCATTTAACAAGAAAGGGAGCCACAAGTTTATGATGCTCAGTGAGCAGTTTCGGGTTGACACGTAGCTATCTCCTTCATAGCTAGTCCAACCACACCCCCCACCACTGTGAGGCATCATGTAATGAGGGGAAGAATTTAACCACTCTACTCCAGAGACACAAATCCTGATCTGTTTGAGCTAAAAAGCATCACATCTACACATGCATGGCCCAAATGCACATTTCTGGAGGGAGGCTCATATACTTTTGTTTGGTGTTGAAAGAAACCAGCTCTCTCCCGCTACCCTAGACTTGAAACAGGAAGCATGTAGTAGCTGACAGCAGGCATTTTTTGATGTAGCAAAAGGATGAAGCTGATACAAGAGGAGGGCAAAACCACAACCACTACGAAGAGAAAAATGGAAGTGAGAGCTCTGATGCAAGAAGACAGAGGGCTGGCCTGCCTCTGGGCCTCTGGGCTCCTTGGTGATGTGAGCATATTCGCCCACTGCTACAAAAGCACACGCGTCAGTGGGCTTCCTACTGCTTACAACTAAAGACGCCAACCTAACACAGACTTTGGTGATGGAAAGGGAGTTTGCAAATCACAAGCCCTAAATAATGGAATTGGCTCAACTGAAGAAGAGTAAGGAAGAGTTCTAGTCCCTCAGCATCGCCTGCTGTACCTTCAGACCAGACCAGATGACTACCACCAATATTATTATACTAAAGACCTGATAAGGAAAAAAATGAGGCTACCCAAGTGTTTTGGCTATTCCTCATAGCTTTTACTAATGTCCTACACACAGATGTTTACAACATTGTTCTCTGTGTTTTAGTTGTCAAATATAAGATAGTGTAAATCCTCAGCAGAAAAAGAAAATAATTCCTAATAAGATACACACTTGAGGAACAAAGTCTGGATCCTATTTGTTTCTTACTATTGTTTTACAGCCTTACAATGTATTTTAATTGTAACAAAACACGCTGGCCAAAATTTGACTGTAAATTCAGAGGTAAGGGAATTTAAGAATAATCAAATTAGTGCTTCAAATTCTAACTTAGGAATTATAAAATATGAAATCCTGAAAATATTAATTAAAATAAAGAACTAGAGGAGTGCCAGGGGGGCTCAGTGGGTTAAGCATCCATCTCTTGATCTCAGCTCAGGTCTTGATCTCAGGGTCGGGAGATCAAGCTTCACGTTGGGCTCCACGCTGAGTGTGAAGCGTACTTAAAAAAAATGAAAAACTACATACTCTACATATCAGAGGCACTCTCCAGCCTAAGTAATAAAGAGGCCAATCAATACAGAGACTAATATTTGAAATATTTCACAAAATGCTACGATTTTCAAAAATAAAATTCCAATAACCAGATCCTTTCATTTTTCCAGTATGTGAAAGCCAATCTCAAATTACCAGAGAGTGAAACAAGATGTTATCATATATACATATACATACATATGTACGTTACGTACGTACATATATATACATATGTATACACAGGCGCACACGCGTGCACGCGCACACACACACTCAAGATTTCAAGGTTAGCAGTGATATAAGGATTTATTGATGCCTATGGCCAAAGTTTTAAATAGGATATGATGTGAGAATTACCAAATTCACCACTGTCATACTACAGTCCTTCCTCTTCTTAACTTACTCATCTTTCTTTGTTTTTCCTAGTTCTCTGTAGCATGCCCTTCTATGCATTGTCTTCATATGATTTACTGTTTGCTTACTGTTTTCCGTTGTCTCCCTCTGGATGTGTCTAGCCATCTCTGAATATGTCCCAGAACCTCTGCACCTTCTGCTCCTAAGTTGGGTATTCCTGTTCTCTCTCTTGCTGTCTCTTTGCTCTGCCTTCTTCCTTCCTTAGCCATAGTACTTAACTTATTTGATATGGTTATAGAATCAAAGTTTATATAATTTCTGCTTTATCATTGTTTAAAAGTAAGATGACTTTTATTTCTGATTTTGTATAAAAAAAAAATTATTTCTTGAATTAATTTGTATTGTGCAATCCTGAACTGATTTACTCACTGAGTTAGTGTCATGATAAGTGCTGCTTATTCACCACAGAATAACATTTTTACTAAGGTCTTTGTATCCAAAGAGTCATTCCTTGGACAATATAAAATTAACCTTATGGATTCACTAATCTAATTACTAACAAAATGGCATTCAAATTCTGGGACTTATGTCTCATGTGTACTCTTGTTTTAAAAATTCAAATTTCCTAAAATAATTTTCTATTAAATGGATACAATATTTAATTTGATAACATCTTATAAAAATGTTATAAATTTAGTGAGTGCCTATGTTGTGACTTGACTTTGTCACCTGCAGAGTTTTATCAAGGCACAGAATCTTCAATATTATGAAGTATAATAAATAAAAGCATTTTACAAATGTATAAACTCAAAGTAGGTCTACAGGGAGAAAAAAATGAAGCAGAAAGAATTAACCCATCCAAAGTGGAAGGTTGTCAGTATAGCAGAAATCAAAAATCTAAAGTCTTGGTTCCCGCAATATAAACATTAAATTCTATGCTTCCATCATTTATGATTTCTTTTTTGCTTTTTACAATACTAACTTAATTCTCTATGAATACAAATATAGCCAATTATTTGTTTTAATTTGTAGTACATTTAAATAGTTTTCTTCTAGTGTTATAAGGTGTATAAGGTAATGTTCTGCACTGAAAAAAATTAAAACAGCATCCTAAACATAAAGAGAAGAAAACAAGACTAGAGTCAAGGGGCATTTACTATTCCAGAGTAAAGAAAGGTTAGCTTCAAGGTCAAATAGAAAGCCTCATAATCAAATTCACAACTTAGCTATACTTCTCTGGATAGAGAACAGCTATACTAAGGTACTTACAATGTTACCAAACACTATGTCTCAGTGTTGTGATTCTCCATAATTTTATGCAGTTTAATATGTGATAGTAAGTCACTCTGGCATTTAACCAGTCTTTAGAAGGAACTCCTATGGAGTAATTTCCCTTTTAACTGTGATTCCAAGTTGACAACTCAGCAAGACACTCTGGAAGAAGGATGACTAAGAGACAAACATTCTTAAAATGAAGTAAACATGTAAGGTACTAGCCTGTCATATGCAGCAATCATAAAGTTGAGGAGGAGGCTGATCGACTGCTCCACACTGATTTGGTGAGTAGAAGGAAGGCGCTTGTTCAGCTGGTAGTAGACAGAGGAGATGACAGTTTCGAGGCGGGACACGCTGATCTCAGTGGTATGGTCCAGTGTATTAAGGCCATTGTCTCGGAAGGCTTCAATCATGTTCCAGATATCAACAAGATGGACTGAAACACAAAGAAAATAAATTGTCAACAACTTAAAAGTTTTATTTCACCAGGAATATCTAAGAACTTTTCATTTATTTATATCTAATAGAATAGTGAAAGGAGGCAGAATAGGACCCCAAAACATGCCACTTTGGCATAAGGATTATTTTGAGCTAAAGACACTTGAAAAACAGCAGGTGCCAAGAAGGTCATGTTAAACTCCTCTTTTTTTCCTGAAAGCAGGAAATAAACTCCCAAGTGAAAGATGCCCTCCTTATTCCAAAGGGAAAGAAACATTCTTATCCCCAGAGACAGTGAACTGAATCCAAGAGAAATCTGCATAGACTTTGTTAAAATAACCCTTATCTTCCTTGAGTCTCCCCATATATTTTAGTTACTTTTCCACAACTGCTACTCCTTCCTTCCTAGTGTATCAGCACTGATGCCTCCTCACCCCTTCAGTTCTTCATTTTCCTATGGGAGCTCCCAGGTACAGGAAAACTCTGCGTGCAAAACTGCCAATCTGTCTATGTCCATTTAATTCTCAGGCCCAGCCAGAGACCCTAAGAGGGTAAAGTTTTGCTTCCCCTACAATAGCATCAAAAGTATATATTGTAAAATTTAACAGAACCTCAAGGAGACAAATTTCACAAGCTTAGTGGGAGAAATTAACACATTTCCCTTAGTAAGTGATAGAGGAAACATACAAAAGCATAAGTGCGGATGTAGACAATTAAGAGTAGGCATAAAGGGCACTATATGAATTACTGCCCCTAGTGATTAGAGAATATGCTTTATATTCAAGAGCGCAAACCACCTGTCTGAAAATTGAGCTTATCCTGGGTTATAAAGCTAATCTAGGCAAATTTCAAAGGATTCAAGTAATATCAACCATGTTCTTTGATCAAAATGAGATTGTCAGAAATCATCAAAAAAAAAAAAAAACACTTTTCAAATAAACTTTATGTTCAGAAATGAAGAAACACAATACTAGGGGATGTCCTTAATCTGATTAAGGGTATTTACAGAAAACTGCAGCAAACATATTACTTAAAAGTAAAATGTTGAAAGCTTTTCCTCTGATATGTGAATAAGATAAGAAAGGCTCACCATCAAATGTAAATTGGTATGGCCACTGTGGAAAACAGTATGGAGGTTCCTCAAAAAATTAAAAATTAAAATACTATATGATCCAGTAATTCTACTACTGGGTATTTGCCCAAAGAAAACAAAGACACTAATTTGAAAATATATATGCACCTCTATGTTCATTGCATCATCATTTACACTAGCCAATATATGGTTGCAACCTAAGTGTCCACCAATAGATGAATAAATAAAAAGGATGTGGCATATATAGAGAATGGAATATTACTCGGCCATGAAAAAGAATGGGATCTTACCATTTGCAACATGGATGGACCTAGAGGGTATTATGCTAAGTGAAATAAGTCAGACAGAGAAAGACAAATACCATATGATTTCACTTATACGTGGAATGTAAAAAACAAATGGACAAACAAACAAAAAACAGAACAGGCCCATAAATACAGAAAACGAACTAATCCTTGCCAAAGGAAAGAGGGTGGGGGGATGGACAAAATGGGTGAAGAGGAGCGGGAGATAACAGGCTTCTAGTTATGGAATGAGTAAGTCATGGGAATAAAAAGCACAGCATAGGGAATATAGTCAATGGTACCGTAATAGCACCGTATGGTGACAGATGGCAGCTACACTTGCGGTGAGCATATTGTAACATACAGAGTTGTAGAATCACTGTGTTGTGTATGTGAAATAAATGTAACATTGTGTAGCAACTACACTTCAATTAAAAAAAAGGAAATGCCAACTATCATCATCTCTATTGTATTTTGGGTCCTAAACCAAAATAAATAAGCAGTAATTATCCATGTAAGTTTCAGAAATGATGAAATTTAACTGTCATTATTCAGAAATGACAAAATTCTACACACAGACTATCAAAGTTTCTCCAGATAAATTACTAAAACTGATATTTGAGTCTGGAATGATTGCTAGATACAAGTCAAGATATAAAAGTCACTGTATTTCTATTAGTAACAGAAAATGAAATTTTAGGGGTGCCTGGATGGCTCAGTCAGTTAAGCATCCAACTCCTGATTTTGGCTCAGGTCATGATCTCACAGTTGTGAGACTGAGCCCAGTGCCAGGATCTGTGCTGGGTATGAAGCCTGCTTAGGATTCTCTCTCTCCTTCTGTCCCTCCTCCAGTTCTCTCTCTCTCTCTCTCTCTCTTTCTCTCTCTCATTTAAAAAAATAAAACAAGGGGCGCCTGGGTGGCTCAGTCAGTTGAGCAATCGACTTCAGCTTGGGTCATGATCTCATGGTCCATGGGTTTGAGCCCCACATCAGGCTCTGTGCTGACGCTCAGAGCCTGGAGTCTGCTTCGGATTCTGTGTCTTCTTCTCTCTCTGCCCCTCCCCGGCTCATGCTCTGTCTCTCTCCATCTCTCACAAATGAATAAACATTAAAAAAAACCTTTTTTAATAAAATAAAATAAAAAAGAAAGAAAAAGAAAATTAAATTTTATATACTATTTATAATAGTATCATAAATCATCAAAAATTTACGAATAAATCCAATGGAGGAAGTGCAAACATCTCCACAAAAAACAAAAAAAAATTATAATTTAACTGGCAGAAATTAAAGAGCTAAATAAATGGAGGAACATACCATGTTCATTGGAGGAAATGTCAATATTAGAAATATGTTGATTCTCCCCACCTTAATCTATAGATTCAGTGCAGTCCCAACAAAATGCCACAGGGCTATACGTTAAAATAGGATAAATTTTACTATATGTAAATTATAACTAAAAAGAAATCAAGAGGGGAACCTGGGTGGCTCAGTCAGTTAAGTGTCCAACTCAGTTTCAGCTCAGGTCATGATCTCACTGCTTCACAGGTTCAAGCCCCACATCGGGCTCTGTGCTGGCAGCATGGAGCCTACTTGCGATTCTCTCTCTGTCTGCCTGTCTCTCTCTCTCTTTCTCTCTCCCTCCCTCTCTTTACTCCTTCCCCACTCACATTATCTCTCTCTCAAAATAAATAAACTAAAAAAAAAAAAAAAGTAAAGATGGAAAAAATCCCAGCAGTGTTGTTTTATTGTTTCTTTTTAGTAGAAATTGTTAATTAGATTCTAAAATTTATATGAAAATAAATATAAAAAGACCAAAACTGTCCCAATATTAAAAAGAAAAACAGAACAGGGGAGCCTGGGTGGCTCAGTCGGTTGAGCGTCTGACTTCGGCTCAGGTCACGATCTTGTGGTTTGTGAGTTTGAACGCCACGTCGGGCTCTGTGCTGACAGCTCAGAGCCTGGAGCCTGCTTCAGATTCTGTGTCTCCTCCTCTCTCTGCCCCTACCCTGCTCATGTTCTTCTCTCTCTGTCTCTCAATAATAAATAAACGTTAAAAAAAAATTAAAAAAAAAAGAAAAGAAAAGAAAAACAGAGTAGGAAGACTTGCTCTGATATTAAGACTTATTATAAAGTTATAATAACAGTTACTGGTAGGATAGACAAATAGACCAGTGGAACACATGAGTCTAAAAGCATATGCGGAAACTGCTATGAACATTTTTTTTTAATTTTTTTTAATGTTTATTGATTTTTTTTTTTAATTTTTTTTTCAACGTTTTTTTTAATTTATTTTTGGGACAGAGAGAGACAGAGCATGAACGGGGGAGGGGCAGAGAGAGAGGTAGACACAGAATCGGAAACAGGCTCCAGGCTCTGAGCCATCAGCCCAGAGCCTGACGCAGGGCTCGAACTCACGGACCGTGAGATCGTGACCTGGCTGAAGTCGGACGCTTAACCGACTGCGCCACCCAGGCGCCCCATAATGTTTATTGATTTTTGAGAGACAGAGACGGAGCACAAGTAAGGGAGGGGCAGAGAGAGAGGGAGACACAGAATCCAGAACAGGCTCCAGGCTCTGAGCTATCAGCACAGAGCCTGACGCAGGGCTTGAACTCACAAACCGTGAGATCACGACCTGAGCCGAAGTCGGATGCTCAACCGACTAAGCCACCCAGGCGCCCCTGAACAATTATACATTTCTCCTAATGAGTATGAAGAGAAGATTTGGAGGCAGTGAAGAAAAAAGGATAGTTTTTTCAATAAACCATGTAAGGGACAATTGAACATACATATGGATAAAACTGAAATTTTACTCCTACTTAAACTATACACCCACAGAAAAAAAATTTTTCAGGTTGATTAAAGAATCATATGTGAGGGATGCCTGGGTAGCTTGGTTGCTTAAGTGTCTGATGCTTCATTTTTTTTTTTTTTTAATGTTTATTCATTTTGAGAGAGAGTACAAGCAGGGGAGGGGCAGAGAGAGAGTATCCCAAGCAGGTTCTGTGCTGTCAGCACAGAGCCCAACACAGGGCTCAATCCCACTAACCGTGAGGTCACAACCTGAGCCCATATGAGCCACCCAGGTGCCCTGAGTGTCTGACTCTTGATTTCAGCTCAGGTCATGATCCCAGGGTCGTGAGACTGAGCCCCACATCAGGCTCCACACTGACCATGGAGCTTGCTTAAGTTTCTCTCCCTCTCCCTCCCTCCCTCCCTCCCTCTCTCTCTGTCTCTCTCCCTAGCTCACGTGTGAAAAAAATCATATGTGACAAAATAAAGCTTCTAGAACAATGCATCTTTTTACTGTACATTACTAATGCCACTAGTCTGTTTTCAGACTCTCAACACTGCAAACATACACTACCATTTCCCAAAAATAATTACAGGAAGAATTATTAAAACGGTAGTTGCTCTGATAGTGATTTTCAAACTTTTTTACCACAACCCACAGAAATATATTTAACACACACACACACACACACACACACACACACACACACACACACGTCTAAATATATAAAAAACAAAAGTTTCACAAAATGCTTTGTCTTACCATATAATTCGTGTTCTGATTTCTTTTCTTTCTCTTTTTTTCTCTATTATGTGCTTTAAAATCTGGCTGCAGCCCATCAGAATGATTTCATGAACCATTAGTGGGTCAAAACCCATACTTTGAAAAACAATGCTTTGAGAAATCAGAGACTTCAGTTTAAGATGGCATGGTAAACTCCCTAGAGAGAATTTCATACTAGGACTTTTAAGTAACGCTTCAAGTAGGGTAGAAGTATTTAGATGTAAAGTGACTTACCCAACATCATGTGTTTATAGTAAATGCTAAAACCAGGACTAAACTAAGGTTTTTCCAATTCCAAAGCCAACGTTCTTTCCATTACACAAAACAGTTTTTCATTAATACACACAAACAAGAAAAGTGAAATAATTCTGTCATAAGTTAATCTTCATGGAAATTAAGAAAGATTCTATATCCATGTGTGTATATCTATGTATCCGTACATACACATATATATTTTTTATTTACTTATTTTATAAGTAGCAATTGTGGAGTGATTACTTATAGAAAAGGCTGATTCATGTTGAATTCATTTTAATCAAGAAAATTAATTTATCACACCTCTGTCAAAATACTGTTTTTCTTTTCTTCCAGAAGCTGATTAAAGAAGTGAGAAGGAGAAAGCAATTCTCCCACTTAAAGAACATTAATACTATGCCAGCATCGAAACCAATTACATTATTGAATTTAGTAAACATTTTGAGGGACAAGTCCTTTCCATGAGAAAGCTTACATTTTAATAAACATTCAAGACAAAAATAATTCAATTAACATTACAGGAGGACCAAAAGATACTAAAACCTTTTATTTATATTATTGAGAGCACTATCCAGCTATCACAGAAATTAGTGAAAATGACTTACGGTTGCATCGCTTTTGTACAAATCGTAATTTGCAAGCTGTTCTATAAGTTGATAGTCGTATGACATCAAAATTCTGAGCACCTGAAAAAAGGGCAAACAACATATGTTCAACTGGACTTACCATTTAATTTCTAAATACTGGGAAGTGACTCTATTCCACAGCATGGGCACAGGCTATATATAACATGGCAACTAGGCTTTTCTTCTGAGAAAACAAAAGGGGTAAGGAAGGGTCAGGCACACTTTCTTCATGCCCACTCCATGCCCAGCACCATGACAGCAGTTCTGCCTATATTATCCTGTCTGCCAGCCTAACAAAACTCGGAGGGAGAACACTCATAACTAGAGTGAATCTTTCCTTCAATACCACTTGTATGTAGGGAAACTAATGTGAGAAGCTGGGAAAGGAAAGTTCCATCCCCAACTAACCAAACAGAAAGATTACTAATCTGATCAATCAGACTGTACACCATGTTTACCACTGGAGAAGTAACCGTACAAAAAAGTCAGCACATATGGTATATAACTCACTCTCTTTCAGGTTCTCTCTCCAGTGCAGTTAGAGTTAGATTTAGGTACTGCAAAATGGAATAGAGCAAGTATCACACAAGTCCAAAGCGAACTGGTTGAGGGAAATGGGAAACTCCATAAGCTCCAGCCCAGTCTGCCAGAAATCTCTACTCTTAAGTTCAAGGTGCTAGTCAAGAATTAATTATCACTGTTTTCCTTTGCCATTTTTTTTTACGCTGTGAAAATATATCCCTCTAAACCCAGTGGAAAAAGGAAGTAACAGTGGGATGGCACAGGATTCAGACATTCTAGGGATCCCTGGCCATAATATCATTTTTAAAATCTAACAACAGTCTGAATCCCAAAATAATTTCTACAAGTCAAGATATAATCAGTAACTTTAGAACTTTATTAAAATCTTATTGTACCAACATTCAACCATCCAGGTTCTCAAACTTCTGATACATTTACCTTCTTCTGAAGCAGTCCTCTTGCCAGATATCTATAAGGAAAACCCTCATATACTGCTCTAAGAATAGCCTTCACTTTTTAAAAATGTCCCTTATATAAATGTCATATTGATTTCCTGATCAGAAAATATGGTAGTTTGGCACATAAAAAATAGAACAGAAAGTTCCCAGTGAAGAAGCTAAAATGATTATCCCTTTGAGTATTCTGAACTAGAAGAGATTACTGTTCATTTCATTATCATTCATTTTGAGAATACTTCATTATAAGAAATACACTAAATGTCCCTTTAATACTAATATGTCAGACAGTACGTATCAAGCTTATCAAGAAATGGTACAAAAAGTCCTAACTAAACACACAGGCAAAACTCTAGCCACAGGTGGAGAGCCCGGTGAAGCTCCTGGATAGATAGGAGACAATCTAGAAATACTGAGTAGCCAAAACGTAGAGGGAAAGGATAAGAAAGGATTAACTCTTCTTTCTTTATTATGGCTCTCTTCATTCATGAGAACAGGATATCAATCTCTATTGTATAACCAAATCCCAAGGAAAGCAAAAAATCAAATGGGTGAGTTTCATTGTATCTGCTTGTATCAGAGTCTCCTGGGGAACCTGGAATCTTCAGTCTAGAGAGTCCTACAATCAAGCTAGGTTTGGGAAACCTAACTATCCAACTCAACTAAAAGGTCTGGCTCATGCAACTCTTAAATTCCACCTCACACCCAAGCCCAATCAGTATGGGCTACATATAATTACCCAAACATGCCAAACCCTCTCATCTGAGCCTTTGTAAGTGCTACTTACTGCTCCAGCCCCTTCTTCATCACATCACTGAACCGACTCAGCCTAGATATCATTCCTCCCAGATCTTTTCCTGGACCCACCTCCCCACCCTCCGCCGAGCTGCCCCAGTCATGGCTCCTACTGCCCTATCGTTCCTTATGTCCATTTCCAGGAAACTAAGTTTGATGAAGACAGAAACCATTTAATTGTTGTGTTGTTCACTATTATATGCCCAAAAGTAGGACATACTAAGACTAGTTCCTGAAATATTTGCTGAATGGATAAATAACTGAAAATTAGTAAGTTCTATGTCACTGGTATAAAAGACTGGTCTGCTTCCTCCCAAAAATATACCAAGTAAAGTCAAAGTATCAGACAAACTATACAATTTTGGAAAAGCTGATAAAGAGAGATGATAAAAGTAGTGGGAAAGCCAACTCCTTTCTCCAGGTAAACATGCTGATACATTTAGCCTTCTTCAGATAGATCACAGGATTCCAAACCATGTTCGAGGGAGCCATAGGATTTGCTGGAGGTGCTCGGCAGACCATGGGAGGTGCAAGGAGGTAAGTGTATTTTGTTAGAAAGGCCTCTAACTGATGAGATGAGAAGAGAAGGAGAAAGGAGAGAAGAGATTACAAACTGAATAAATATAAGTATAGCAACATTTCTGAATTGCCCCGAAAACTTACAACCACTTTTAATAAGGAAAAAAAAAACTTTTCAAGAGAGTGAGTCTGAATAAGTAACAAATATAAACATAAATGACTTCCTTATTTTTTTTTTTTTCCGGCAGTACAATTAGAAACCCTAGGGACCAGAGATGAAGCCAGAGGTCCCAGCAGAGAGGAAGGTACAGACCACAGAGTGGTGACTTCTCAGGGGGTGAACTAAAAAAAAAAAAAAGAAAGAAAGAAAAACGATACCACAAAGGGAAATGGTAGAGACACATGGCTGGCTCCACCTAGATTTAGATTTAAATTTTATTTATTTATTTTTTTAATTTGAGAGAGAGAGAGAGAGAGAGAGAAAGCATATGTGCGTGGGGGATAAAGGCAGAAAAGGAGAGAGAGAATCCTAAGCAGACTCCACACCACGAAGCCCATTGTAGGGCTCAATCCCACAACCCTAGGATCATGACCTGTGCTGAAACCAAGAGTCAGATGCTCAATTGAGTGAGCCACCCGGGCACACCTATATTGAAATTTTAAAAGCAAGCAAAGAAAGTGATAGTCAAATAGATGAGACAAAAGAAAAACTGATCATACAAAAGAATTATAAAGTCTAACTTGTGGCGTTAAAAAAGATAATGCTTTGGGGCGCCTGGGTGGCGCAGTCGGTTAAGCGTCCGACTTCAGCCAGGTCACCATCCCACGGTCCGTGAGTTCGAGCCCCACGTCAGGCTCTGGGCTGATGGCTCGGAGCCTGGAGCCTGTTTCCGATTCTGTGTCTCCCTCTCTCTCTGCCCCTCCCCCATTCATGCTCTGTCTCTCTCTGTCCCAAAAATAAATAAAAAACGTTGAAAAAAAAATTTAAAAAAAAAATAAAAAAAATAAAAAAGATAATGCTGAGGCACATGGGTGGCTCAGTGGGTTGAGCGTCCAACTCTTGATTTCAGCTCAAGTCATAATCCCAGGATCATGGGATCAAGCCCTGCATCAAGCTCTGTGCTGAGCATGAAGCCTGCTTAAGATTCTCTCTCTCTCTCTCTCTCTCTCTCTCTCTCTCTCTCCCTTCCTCTGCCCCTCTCCCCTACTTGCTCTTTTCCTCTCTCTAAAAACAGAAAATCAAAAATTTTTTTAAATTAAAAAAAAAGTTAATACTAAAAGTGGTGTATCTTTCATAAAGGAAGTACTCTAAAATATTATATTCCAGTATTACTTTGAACAAAGTTATAAATATCAAGCTCTGAACTTCATTTTAATTGACATTAGAATTTCTAGGGTAGCCACAAAAAGAACAGGAAAAGAATACGAAAACTCACAACCAAGAAGAGGGAAAAGTAGAATGGAAGGAAGGAAGTTCAATTCATCTAAGGAAGGCAAGAAAGGAAGAAAAAAAGAAAAAAGAAAGGACACATTTGAAGCACAAAGCAAGATGGATGAAAAAATGAAATCTATCTGTATTCATAAAAAAATTAAACAGAATAAATTCTTCAGTGAAAAAGCAAAGACTGTCGGTCACAAGGGTAGTTGTTAAATAGCTTAGCTTAGGCTGTTTCCAGGGGATACACACAAAACATAAGGATACAGAAAGTTTTGAAAAGATACTATACAAAGCATTCTAACCAAAGAAAAAAACTGGTGCAGCCATATTAATAACAACAAAATAGACTTCACAGCAAAACACATTACTAGAAAAAGAGGGTAACTACATAATGACAAAATATTTGATCTCCCAGGTAGATGTAACATTTTAATGCATGCGCATCTACAAACAAAAGCTTCAAACTACTGACAGAACTAAGGGGAAAAAATTTAAAATCTATGATCAAAGCAGAGATTTTTAACGTCTTTTAGTAATTAAGGAGTCAAATCCATAAGGACCAAACAGATATGAATAAAACATGTAACAAGTTTGATCTAAATAATGCAGAAATCATACACATTATTTTCAAGCACTCATGGAATATTTACAAAAACATGTAACAAAAAAGATCGCCAAATTCAAAGATTCTAGAACGTCTCTCATTCCCTGATCCATATCCCAATTCAGCTAAGTATTTTTTTTAATTCAAAGTCATTTATTTGCAATTTTTTTTAAAAGAGTACTCTAAATAATTCCTAACAAATAAGAAAGCACAGAGAAGTGATCATGAAAATGGCATATATCGGAACACATGGAGCACAAAAATAGAAAATCACAGGAAAGAAGTTCTTAAGTGCTTATATAAGAAAGAAAAAAGTGTTAAAATAAGCAGTTGGAAAAAGGAACAACAGAATTGCCTAAAAGTAGAAAGAAGAAAATAATAAACACAAGAGAACAAAATAATGAGGAAGAAACAAAATACATGGAGAGGACCGACAAAAGCCAAAAAAGTTCCTTGAAAAGACCAATAAAACTGACAAAATTCGGGAAAAGAAAAAACGAAATCACATTCTCTGAGACTGGAGGGAGGCCTGACGCCAGCATTTTATCACCTGACCTAGAGAGCTTTCACTTTACCTCCAGAGTTGCAAACTACAGTTCTAACTTATCACCTTTTTCTTAGTAGTTTTATATCATGTAAGAATTGTAAACTACCAAATTCCTTCTATGTAATTTATTCCAGTCTTCTTTTAATAAATATTTATCGAGCTACCGGGCCTACTGGGATGAAGAGATGTGATCCTAATTCCCATAGTGCTTAGTCTACAAGAGAAAATATTAAACAAAGAAAGAATAAACTAATTTCACTGCCCTTCATAGTATGGAATTTAAATATATGATCTAAAAACAGAAAAGCTTAAAAAAAAAAACAGAAAAGCTTAAGAAGATTATAGAAAAATATAACAATGGTATAATAATAAAGCCACACAACATAAAAAGAATACAACCTATCTAAATTATTAAATTATTATGACTGCTTTCATGCTATAACAGCAGAGTTCAGTCGCTGTAACAGAGAACTCATTATATGGCCTCCATATCCTAAAATATTCACTTTCTGACCCTGAAAGGAAAAGATAGCTAGCCCTAGCACTATATTTACAGAATAAAGGAGAAATACATTCATCTCAAGAGAAGCAGGAAACATCTGATAAAATTTGATACTCGTTCATAATTTAAAGAAATAATAAATAAATATATAGAATAAAGAAAATAATAGTTAATAACTCTCGGTAAATTAGAACCTAGAAGTAGTTCCTTAACCTGATAAAGGGTACAAAACCTGCAACAAATATCATTTTAACAGTGAAATACTACATGTATCCCCATTAAAGTACGAAACAAGACAAGGGTGGCTGTTATCCGTCCCGTTCTTCCTGTTCTTATATCAGAGGTCCTAATGAGTAGGGAGGTAATGAAAAAGAGGTATAAGAATTTCAAAAACAAGAATTAAAACTGTCTTCGTTTAAAAATAATATAATCCCATAGAATGTACAACATCCAGAATGGACCCTCATGTAAACTATGAACTTTGGGTTTTACAATTTGTCAACACAGGCCCGTCAGTTTTAATGAATGTACCCTCTCGTGGGGGATGTCGATAATGCGGGAGGCTGTACATGTGTCGAGACAGGGAATAGATGGGAACTCTCTGTGCCCGCCTCTTAATTTTACTGTGAACCTAAAACTGCTCAAAAAAAGTGAAGTCTCAGGGCGCCTGGGTGGCTCAGTCAGTTAAGCGTCCGACTTCAGCTTAGGTCATGATCTCGTGGTTGTTTGGGTTCGAGCCCTGCGTCAGGCTCTGTGCTGACAGCTCAGAGCCTGGAGCCTGTTTCAGATTCTGTGTCTCCCTTTCTCTCTGACCTCCCCTGCTCATGCTTTCTCTGTCTCTCAAAAATAAACATTAAAAAAATTTTTAAGTCTCTTTTAAGTAAAAATCTATTAATTACCCTTTGAGAGTAAGAAAAGAGTGGAGAAAGATCACTGGATTCAAACTTGACATGAAATCAACCCAAAACCTAGAGGGTAGAACTGTATGATAAGGCTGGCAAAAGATGATTTCTGCATCCATAGAAGGGAATAATGCTGGAGATTTGGGGGGAGTAGGAAATGAGAGAGTAGGCCAGATATCACTGCCACCAATGCAATTCTTTGCGTGAAAAAACAGGAGAGACAAGAAGCGATACCAAACATCTCCCAAACTGTCCAAATCCTTGAGTTTGTTACAGAGAATAGTAATTTATCCAGGGCTCATATATCAGAATAATATTCACTAAGCAGTAAACCCAGTTCTTCACAGAACACCCAATTTCTATTCCAAATATTGACCGTCACTGTACTCTCTCACATGCCCATGTTTGTTCCTGAAGCCACCCCAGGCACTTCTTTTTTATTTTTTTAATGTTTATTTATTTTTGAGAGAGAGTGCCTGTGAGTGGGGAGGGCAGAAAAAGGGAGGACAGAGGATCCAAAGCAGGCTTGCAATGACAGCAGAGAGCCCAATGCGGGGCTCAACACCACAAATTGCGAGATCATGACCTGAGCCAAAGTCAGACACTCAACCAAGTCACCAAGGCACCACCCCCACCCTCCCCACTTCTTCTTCTTCTTCTTTTTTTTTTTTTTTGAGAGAGAGAGGGCGCAAGTGAGTGAGGAGCAGAGAGAGAGAGAGAGAGAGAGAGAGAGAGGGAGGGAGGGAGGGAGGGAGAGGAGAGGAGAGAGAATCCCACAAAGGGCAGAGAAAGAGGGAAAGAGAGAGAACCAGAGCTAACCCGAAGTGGGGCTTGAGCTCACCCAATGCAGAACTCAAACTCATAACCTGAGCCAAAGTCAGGTTAACCAGCTGAGCTACCCAGGCATCCCCCCCACTCCCAGGCCGGTACTTCTTAATATCAGGAATTATCATTTATTTCTTTGGATTCCTTATTTTGCCTGTTTCCCCCTTGCCAAAGTGTAAGCAATATGAGGATAGTCAGGCACTACGTTTTGTTCTCACCTTAACCCTAGCACTTAGAACAATTCCTGGAACATAATAGATCCTCAATAAATGTGTTAAAAATTAAATAGAAAAGATGACCCCTATGCTGAGCCTTGAACAGCGAACAGGAACAACGAGACAGATGAAGGTGAGCCGAACAGCATGAGCAAAAGCACAGAGACATCAAACATATGATCGATGTGGGAAAAGCCACTTCAGTATGACCGGGCAGTGACACCCATGGTGTGTGATGGAAACCGGGAACCTATGAACCGAGGGAAAAAGAGGCCAGGAGAGCCTTGCCAGGCATGGCCAGGAGCTTGGACTTTCTTGGGAAAGCGATGAGGAGCAACTGAAGGGATTTATGAAGGAAGTAACACAGATTTTTGCAGTTCAACTGGCAGCATCACGGATCACAGATTGGAAGGGGTTGACACTGGAAGAAGGGATCCGAAACAGATTGCTTTGAGTTCAGAAAAGTAACAATGATAAAAATATTAAACACAGCTAATCACATTAAATACCTACTATTCTGTGTCCGTGTTAAAGGCCTGACATTATCTCATTTAATCTTGACAATAATTCTATGAAATAGATACTACTCCCATTTTATGGACAAGTGTAGTAGCACAGAGATTAAGTAACTCACCTAAGATTATACAGCCAGAAAATGAGGGAGCCAAGATCCAAACACGGATAGTCTCACAGCAGAGCCTGGATTTAAAGCCATTAAGGCATGAGAAATTCAGGAGTCCCTTAAGAGGTAAAACTCAGCAGCACTTTGTGATTTCTTTGGAGGTGGAAGGTGAGGTGGAGGGAAGTGATTGCAGGGTGTCTGGCTTGGATGACTAGCAATTAGAGACTCAGAACTACAGAACTCCTTAAAGATCGCCCGGACTGACTGCCCACCCAATGCCACAAATTTCTTCTCTGACATCTTCCATACTTCTCTAGCTTATGCTTGACAGGACAACATAGATCTCAGTTAAGTCAAACTCTGCCTCCCGTTACTAAGACTCTTAAGATTTAAAATATCTTGCTTGTTGAAAGAGGCTTCTGAGACTTTATCTACTGATTTTTACTCTGTGATATGCAGAATTCTAGAATTCTACAAGTACCTCAGGGGCTATCTCAGGCAGGGCTCCTGCCTCCCCTCTTCAACCAAGCAGTACCAATTCTACGACACTCTCGTGTTGAGGGTCCTTGTAAGATCTCATTTTTTAAAAAGAGTACAATGCTTTTAAAAGCAATCATGAACACTGGTACAGACCAATAACCCTATTTCATGGCAAAGGAATTTGTGGTCCACCAAGTATGAATGCACGAGTCAAGGTCACATAGACAAGTAATCGGAGACCAAAATAGTCATTCAAATACTGGGAAATGACCCACTTCTCTCGGCCATCTTTCTCTTTGAGTTTTATAGAAGAATATAATTTTTTAACAAGATTTAAAACCGTACTGTAAAGTAATATACCAAACTATACATTTGTACTTTTAATTATTCCTATAGCTCTAAGTTTTAACACTTAGTCCTCTATACCTCAGAATCTGTATCCAGTGTAACTTAATTTATATAATGTATTAATTATTTATCACCACCTGCAAGCTCATGGTAACAATGGAGTTACAACAAGACGTCTAAACTGACTGGTGTGCCTTGGGACACCTGGCTGGCTCAGTCAGTAGAGCATGTGACTCTTATCTCAGGGTCATGAGTTTGAGCCCCAGCTTGGGTATAGAGATTACCTAAAAATAAAATCTTAAAAATAAATAAATAAATAAATAAACTGACTGGTGTGCCCTAAACTCATAGATATGCTAGGTAACATTTCTGCCTTAGTATTCATGATCTTACTTAAGAAAGTAATTCAAGTCAGGGCACCTGGCCAGCTCAGTCAGAAGAACATGCAACTCCTGATCTCGGGTTTATGAGGTCAAGCCCCATGTTGGCTGTAGATATTTAAATAAATAAATATGTAAAAAAAGAAAGAAAGAAAGCAATTCAGGTCAACTCAATTACAATATATGCTCTGACTTGAGGTCCTTCAACTCCATGATTCTTCAACTCCTTTTTTTCCCTTTTCTGAAGCTTGGAATGTGCTAAGGATTCAAGATGTGACTTGATCAGGAAAAAAAAAAAAAAAAAAAAGGCATCCCCACACATACAAACAAGGGCTCCAGAAGCACTCAAGACTCACGCATTTCTATGAACAGCTGCCTCTTCTCTGCCATGGTCTTCCGCTTGTTCCCACTTTCCTCAATCATCCTAGAGACAAAAAAAGATACAATAGACCACTGTAATTTGACAGTTCAACCAAGAGCTTATCATTCTATTATGAAGAGGTCCCAAAAACCAAGTTGTATGTGCACATTTAAGACAGCATCAGTAAAAACAAAGTGGAAGCCTGATACAGAAAAAGACAAATAACTGTCCTTTTATTTATCTGACAGCTTCTAAAATAATTACAAAGTTAATAATTAAATGAGCACATACATTTGCTTCCTGTGCTGAAAATATGGAGCTATGTCTTATTTCTAACCTTGATTATTTTCTCTGCAGAGTCCTGGATTAGCTGAGACAGTTTCCCACATCCCTACTGTTTTACAAAGATAAACATGTTACTAAGTATAACTTAGCAAATAATTATAATGAAAAGCTAAAATAAAGAACATAAGAAGTTACTAGCTTATACATAAAAGATATACATAAAATATTCTATTTTATATTGAACAATATTAAACAAAAAGGTATTTATCCCCAAACTCAAAGAGCTCCTAAAGGTAAGTTTTTATCACATGATAATAGTTTAGGTTGACAGACATAGGCTGTCACTCTGTTAAAACTCTTTCCATGCATTACCTCATTTAATCCTCCCAACAACCCTAGATACTGGTTATCATTCTTATTATACCCATTTTATAAATTAGGAAACAGCCTGCAAAGAACACTAACTTGCTTGAGGGCACACAAACAGAAGTGGTAGATGAAATCCTAACCCTTTCACTAAACTTCTTACATAACTGTTGCTTTTAGATGCATATTGCCAAATCTCTACACCTAAAAAGCTAAAAAAAAACCAACAGCGTATTGCACAGACCCTAGTGATGCAAAATCTCTGATAATTTCCGCTGCATTTTGCCTTATTCTGTGAAGAAAAAATATCTAGACAAAGAGCGTAAGCCTAACAATGTCCTTAAGCAAAATTAAGCTGTTATTTACATAACATATTCTCAAATATGTTAGAATAACAAATTAAATGATGGCTACACAAATTACATATCCATTAAGACAAGGTGCCCAGCAAAGTATAATTATAAATAGTATCCTAAAGAAAATTTAAAATGTAAATGCAATCCCTAACATCCTACAACTAATGTTTTGATAATTAAGACTGACCGTTTTAGATCATTGATATGTTACAAAGTACTCTTCAACACACATGTTGGTTACTTAACAATTTACCCCCAAGAGAACAGAATTTTAAACGGAAAGAAAGCCAAAAGAAAAAGCAACTAGAAACAGCAAATATTAAATGAAATCTAAGTCCTACAGTAAAAAAAAACAGAAGTTGATACCCATAGCCTGTAATTACTAAGAAAGAAAGTTACTTAAAAGTTTACTGCCTCTTCCTCAATCTTGGCCTGTGAAGAGGTAATAACAAATCTTAAATGCTAAACACAGATTAAAAGAGAATATCATAATATCCTTTATAACACATCTCATTTATTAAATCCTTTTTCTACTTTTGCTATTTCTCTACATCACTTTTTTTCAAAGTTGGGTATAAGAATTCCTGGAGATCTCTAAATTCTTCGGGACAATCTTCTAAATTGTATCTTTGTTTCCAAGTTAATCTTGAAAAAATTAATATAAATATATTCTGGATCATCTGGATGTCCACCAAACTACAATGCTAACATAAAAATACCAACATTCTCTATAAAATTTAAAGAAGACCCAAAGTCTAACAATACAATGTTCAGTATGTCCGGGAAACAATACAAAACTATTTGGCAAACAAACAACCAAGACAATCTTAACTCACAAGGGGAAAAACAATCAACAGATGCCACTGACGAAATGACGCAGTTGGTAGTAACCTGACAGACATTAAAGCAGTGATTATAAAAATGCTCCAATTGGCAATCACATACACTCTTGAAACATGAGTTAAAATCTTTTTTTTTTTAACGTTTTATTTATTCTTGAGAGAGACAGAGACAGAGAGTGGGAGAAGGCCAGAGCAAGAGAGGGACACAGACTCAGAAGTAGGCTCCAGGCTCTGAGCTGTCAGCACAAAGCCTGACGTGGGGCTCCAACTCACAATCCGTGAGATCATGACCTGAGCCAAAGTCAGATGCTCAACCAACTGAGCCACCCAGGCGCCCCAGAAACGTCAGTTAAAATCTTACGTGTCAGTAGAGAAACAAAAGATAGGAAAGGAACCAAATGGAAATGTTAGAACTGAAATATAAACTCACTGGGGGAGAGGAGGTGCTCACTGGATGAACTCAACAGTAGAATGAAGACAAAGGAAAGAGTCTGTAAACTTTAAGATACATCAAACAGAAATTATCCAATCTGAACATCAGAAAGAGAGAGAGAGAGAGAGAGAGAGAGAGAGAGAGATTTCTTAAAAAAAAAAAAAAAAAGGAATAAAGCCTCAGGAACTTGGTGGACAAAAACAAAAGATCCAACATTCCTCATGTACTCAGAATCCCAGAAGGAGAAAAACAGTGTGGTGATATGGTGCTCAACAATACATGAAGACATAATAGCTGAAAACTTAGCAAGTTCAGTGAAAGACATACCTACAAATTCAAGAAACTGAGCAAACAAGTTAAAGTCAAAGAAACTCATTATAATGATCACATCATAATCAAATTGCTAAAAGACAAATTCTTTTTAAAAAAGTGTTTAAGGGGCGCCTGGGTGGCGCAGTCGGTTAAGCGTCCGACTTCAGCCAGGTCACAATCTTGCGGTCCGTGAGTTCGAGCCCCGCGTCAGGCTCTGGGCTGATGGCTCAGAGCCTGGAGCCTGTTTCCGATTCTGTGTCTCCCTCTCTCTCTGCTCCTCCCCCGTTCATGCTCTGTGTCTCTCTGTCCCAAAAATAAATAAACGTTGAAAAAAAGAAAAAATTTAAAAAAGTGTTTAAGTTTATTTATTTTTGAGAGAGCATGCACACATATATACGTGAGCAGGAGAGGAGCAGAGAGGGGGAGAGAGAATCCCAAGCAGGCTCTGAGTTGCCAGCACACAGCCCAACACAGGGCTTGATCCCACAAACTGAGGTCATGACAAAGAAAAATTCTTTGGGAATGCAAGCTGATGCAGCCACTCTGGAAAATAATATGGTGCTTCCTCAAAAAACTAAAACTAGAACTACTCTACGACCCAGCAATTGCACTACTAGGCATTTATCCACGGGATACAGGTGTGCTGTTTCAAAGGGACACATGCACCCCCATGTTTATGGCAGCACTATCGACGATAGCCAAAGTATGGAAACAGCCCAAATGTCCATTGATGGATGAACGGATAAAGATAATGTGGTATAGGAGCGCCTGGGTGGCGCAGTCGGTTAAGCGTCCGACTTCAGCCAGGTCACGATCTCGCGGTCCGTGAGTTCGAGCCCCACGTCAGGCTCTGGGCTGATGGCTCGGAGCCTGGAGCCTGTTTCCGATGCTGTGTCTCCCTCTCTCTCTGCCCCTCCCCCGTTCATGCTGTTTCTCTCTGTCCCAAAAATAAATAAAAAACGTTGAAAAAAAAATTTTTTTTAATTAAAAAAAATTTAAAAAAAAGATGATGTGGTATATATATACAATAGAGTATTACTCAGCACTCAAAATGAATGAAATCTTGCCATTTGCAACTACGTGGATGGAACTAGAGGGTGTTATGCTAAGTGAAATTAGTCAGAGAAAGACAAAAATCATATGACTTCACTCATAGGAGGACTTTAAGAGATAAAACAGATGAACATAAGGGAAGGGAAACAAAAATAATATAAAAACAGGGAGGGGGACAAAACAGAAGAGACTCATAAATATGGAGAACAAACTGAGGGTTACTGGAGGGGTGGTGTGGCTAAATGGATAAGGGGCACTAAGGAATCTACTCCTGAAATCATTGTTGCACTATATGCTAACTAATTTGGATGTAAAATTTAAAAAATAAAAAATAAAATTAAAAAGAAAAATTCTTGAAAGAAGTCAGAGTAAAAGAAAATTTTACTGGGGCCCCTGGGTGGCTCAGTCAGTTAAGTGTTCAATTCTTGGTTTGGGCTCAGGTCATGATCCCACAGATCTCTCTCTCTCAAAATAAATAAACTTTTTTTAAAAAACTTAAAAAAAAAGGGGGCCCCTGAGTGGCTCAGTCTGACTTCAGCTCAGGTCATGATCTCAGTCTGTGAGTTTGAGCCCCGTGTTGGCCTCTGTGCCGACTGCTCAGAGCCTGGAGCCTGCTTTGGATTCTGTGTCTGCCTCTCTCTCTGCCCCTCCCCTGTTCGAACTCTCTCTCTCAAAAATCAATAAACATTAAAAAAAATTTTTTTTTAAACTTAAAAAAAAAAAAAAAAACATTTTACCCATAGGGCAGGGATCAGCCACTTTTTTCTTGAAGGGCCAAACCATAAATATTTTAGGTTTGCAGGCCATGTGGTCTCTGTTACAACTACTCACCATTGCTACTGCAGTGTGAAAGTAGCCATAGACAATATGTAGACAAGTGGGTGTGGCTTTGTTAAAATTTTATTTAGAAAATAGTCCGCCCACAGACCACAGTCTGCCAGCTCCTGTTTGAGAAGAACAATGATACGAATTACTACAGATTTCTCATCAGAAACTATGGAAGTCCGCAGATGGTAGACCAAGACTTTTAAAGTGCTGGGGGAAAAAAAACACTGTCGGCCCAGAATTCTATATTGAGAGAACATTATCCTTCAGAAATTAAAGAAAGCTAAGAGAATTTGTAGCCAGCAGACATGCTCTAAAATAACTGCTAAAGAAAGTTCTTCAGAAAGGAGGGGAAAATAATTACAAAATACTGCAAATGAAGGAATAGCAATAGAAAAGATGTTAAAAGAAATAACACCAATTTCACACAATTGCTACCAGAAAATACAAAAGAACTTCTTTTGATTCATCTTAAAAAGCCAGCAATATCCTGATACCCAAAATAGACAAAGACAATACAAAAATAAATATCTCTCATGAACACAGACACAAAAACCCTCATCAACAAGCAAAATCCTCCACAAAGTATTA